GTTGAACCGCGGAGATTGGAGGTTTTGCGGTGAGCCGATGTCGCCCATTGACTGTCCACGCTGGCCAACAAGAGCAAAACTCGACTCAAAAAAAACAACAACAACAACAAAAGGGCTGGGCGCGCAGGGGCTCACGCCTGTAATCCCAGCACGTCCGAGATGATTCCTCTCGCCACCTCGGCTCCCGCAAGTGCCTGGGTTACAGGGTGGCACTCTGATGTTCGCGGAAGGTATAGAAGGTGGTTTTCTTATATTTTTCCTATTGATCAGTTGGCGAGATCTGCACTGGGGTCTGTGAAAAATGTAGGAATTAGATAGAGAGCAAGAAGTAATGACTTGGTGATCTTAGAGTGATCAGAGATAAGATGTCATGAAGGATCTCGATCGGTTGGACTGCCCATTTGAGTTGGTGTACGCCTGAATCGTGCTGCCATGGGGAAGTACAATGAAGTTCAGCTGGGCCTTCGGGTGTCCTGGTATGTGTGTGTGTGTGGTGCATGGTGCTGCTGATTGAGTGCTTATGTTGCATCATTTCACTCTACTTCATATTGCTGTGCTTCCATGAACTGCATGATAAGGTGAGTGAGTGCCCTTACATCGGTTAGTTAACCAGAAAGAAAGAAAGAAAGAAAGAAAGAAAGAAAGAAAGAAAGAAAGAAAGAAAGAAAGAAAGAAAGAAAACTGAGTATACAGTGAGTTGCAGAGAAATACAGCCCCTAGCAACACACATATATAAGAGATAGCAGGCCAAAATAGGGAAAGCACAGAGCCAAGGCAGAGAGCACGCCACTCCCGGCCAAGAACAATTTCAAACCCACCCTGCTGAGAAACTGCTGGTCAACTACTCTTCCTGACGCAGCACATTTGTAGTTCTAGCTACTATTTAATTTCATCCTCAAGAGGTTCATAATAGTGGCAAAGAGTGGAAACAAGAAAACAGAGAAATTAAAATAAAGCACCAAGCCCTGTCCTTCTTTAAAGTGGCATTGAATGCATTTAACTCTGCTTATTCCTGGAATCCAGTGATAGCCATATTACAGGGATTTAAACGAAACAGCAATAAACTATGAACCCATAAAGATGAAGAAAACAAGAGCAACAACAACAACAAACTTTGAAGCTAGAAAGCAATTAGATGAGTGAAAATGACTCATCAAGCTTATGAGGGCCAAATCCAAGATCAAAAGGAAAGCTGGAAATTAGGGAAATCACAAGCATCCCACTTGTGACACCCCATTTCCCAAAAGCTCCCAGATGAGGGAAGAGTAGGGAGTCACATGAGGG